GGTTTCCGCGCGTATCTGTCCCTTTAAAGTCAACGAGGAATGGAAAACTCGTAGACGAGAATATAAGAGAAATATTAAGAAATGTGCGTGCGATTCGATTTAATATACCTCGTATTTTTATTTTTCAAAAATAGTATAATTTCAAGTAAAAAAAAATTATAATAAATAAAATTAAATTATAACTAACTTAATCGACTTACGCAAAGTGTACGATTCAATTCGCGAGACAACTATCGCAAAATGAAAATGAAAAAGATAATTCAATGTACGATAATCTTTCGCGAAATCGCGATATCATTGACGTGAGAATAAAATAATAAAAGTTTATGGAGAGACAAGCAAAGTAGGAACAGCGAAGCACAGTGAGCAGGGCTTAAAATAAACTAACTGGTCACTGCTATGACTAATACATCGTTTGCCGTGCAAACGAAAGACTTTCCAGAAACTCTAAAACGCACTAGCGGAACAAACGGGAACGCGGACGCATCCAATTTGTTTCGCTCGTCGAGGCGCTTGCAACATTAATACATGCTTCAACGTAGCGTAATCAATATCATGCGGGACGAGAAAAAAAAACTGGCATCGGAACGAAGAAGGCATCGTTATTTAAGGTCGACACGCATTTAATCTCTTCATTTACTGAAAAATTATTTTGTTCAACCCTAAAGCGAAAATTTCTGGCCGCAGATTTCGAAACGTATCATGTGCATTCGTCTTAACCAGAAACATGTGTAAGAAACGCATCGCTTTTCATAAACATTCATTTGAACAGAGCGTATCGTGCTGTGCGAAATAAGAGATATCGCGTGATTTAAGGTCAGTTTATACATTGGTAGTAGTTTATATCCGTTCGTCTCAATTTAGAGATATTAATGCGTGCTATATGATTCCAAAATATTGCGAAATCGTAAACATTATTTCTACTTATTATGCCGGTCACGAAGAAATCATCGCCAAATGAAAAATATGATTTTAAAAATATATTGCTCGCATGTTTATGCACGTCTGATTATTCCTATGTTATCACGATAAACAAAGAATATTTATCAGTAATGAAGTAAATTCCAGTACGCTGCCCTCTGATAAAGCGGATGTTTTTCGATCGCGAAAATGTAATCACCCAATATAAAGCAGAGTCATATATTTCGATTCGTTTCTCTTTCGTGATCTTTCATGTCCTATACAAAAGAAACATCTAATAAGAAAGAAAAAAATTTCTTCCAAAATTAATAAATTTTCAACATAAATAATAAAATAAAAATAGAGACAAAAGTAATAAAAAAAAAAGAATGAATCACAAAAGGTGATTTTTAAATTCCAACATTCCTTAAATAATAAGATAATTAAAATCAAATTATAAATAAAACAAATTATTTTAAATAACAGTTTCTAGTGATTTCACTCTCTTTGTATATTCTCACTCTCTTTACATTCACTAAAGATTGAGAGAAGTCCGTGATCAGAAAATCAGAAAATCGAAGAAACGGTTGATCAAACTCTTTTGCCATTCGCACAATCATTTATTGTCATTTTCCACGCGTAAATGTAATAATGTCGTAAATCGCAGCTATTTCTCATATTTCTACATCTCGTTTAACCTGTAACCTCTGCCGAGAATGCGAATTTAATACGTCGTTATGGCGAAAGGACTAACGAGCTTTGCCGAGGTGCTAGTAAATTGGATAATCAAGCCGCGCGAGATATTCCACCTGTTATGAATACCAGCGAATACAGGACGCGATGTATGATAAAATTAAGCATGATGAGAGGAAGTGATGTGTATATATCGATTAGAGTCATGCATCTCATGCTCATTCTACGCACGCTCGTATACGAGAATAATCTTGATGCCGCGTGTTTGCGGTTCGATACGACACGAGCTACGCATTTCGCAAAGACCCCGCGGGCCAAGAAACAGCGAGTGTGCACGTTGTTTATGCTCGATTCTTGATATCTTGCAGCTAGAATAAGCCGCGCGTTCACGAGTCGAAAATTTCACTTTCGATCATCTAAAATCGTATAAAATAATTATATCGATTCTACAGATTAAAACAGCACGCGCCAATGTATAAGAAAATCTATAAAAAGTGAAGATATCCTTTAAAATTTTAAGCAGATATCTGTTTTCCAAGCGCTGCTTTGTTATTTATTTCTTCAATTTTACTTGCTTCGATCGTAATCGTTATTTTTGGATTCTTTTATTTATGTCTTCGTTATTTGTGTCTTCTTTTTCCAGGTTTTTTTACATATTGCGGTATTTCGATAGTGCATAATAATATCGTAATGTCACAATGGGCGACAAACGTATCGCTATATCAATCTTGTTCGCTTGCTCGAAATACTTTTCTTTGGTATAATTAAATGCATGATGTATTTCTCGAGAAGTATATTGATTCATGCATCTCTGTATCTCTTTCTCCATTTCTTTCTTTCTCTCTTTGAGTCTTTTCTTCGCTCTATAATAATTCCCGACCCGCATTGAATATATCATGATGAATAAAAGAATTATATTACCGATGAGCTATCATTCATGTCACGTAAAAAATCTGATAACGCGAATAAAAAAAAAGGAAAAAACTGAGGTATATCGAAGTATCGAGAATTGGAGTTCTCGCTCGTTTTGTAGACAAAGAGAAATGCTAAAGGCGTATCGCGAGATTATGGAATTAAACAATAAATGTTGATTACAAATCGGCGGAATTGACGTTAATTAAAACTTCTCTTCTTCTCCTTATCTGTGTGATTATCTCTCAAACGTCAGCTGCCTTGTGAAAGAAAGACACACATCATCTGAATAGTTATCTATTTCAAAATCGAATTCTCCAGTTGTTCGAACGAATTATTTTTCTAATTTAAAGACAAAAAGAGAAAAAGGAAATTCCGATCGTTTTCATCGTCATAATTCATCGCTTACTGATCGGAATTAATATAATAAGAAGCGACAATATATAACTGACCTTCGATAATCGATGTTGAAAAAAAGCGGCCCATCACGTTTTCGGACCGCATTGCATGACAAACTCTCGTCGCGAAATATTGTACATACATATCGACCCGTACGTACGTCAGTGCGACGAGAGATCATGCTATACACGTTAAAGACCATCGTCGCCGTTTTATTTTTACGCGCGTTTGCTAAGACGATTCTGTCACTTCGCTCGCGCTTCGAATTCACCGAACGAACGTGACGTCTCAATTAAAGCTGTTCTCTTTCTACGTGTCTCTATCTCCTCCTTTACATCTTTGTCTCCTAGATTCCGTCGCGGAATTCGAAGAGAGCTAAAGCGAAGACACCGGATCCCTCCGAAAGCAACGCTTTTAGAAAGAGAGAAATAAAAAAAATAAAAATAAAAAGAGATAGAAAAAAATGGAGAAAATAGACAAAAAGAAAAGAGAAGAAAGGAAGAAGAAAAAAAAATTATTTTCAATAAACTTGTATTTGAACATTGATCTCTCGGTTGCACATCGCGATAATCAGTGCTAAATAAGCGTAACACAGGTACGCGCTCCTTCTTCTCCTAATAGTTTTACGAAAGAGGAGCCCAAGATATTTATCTCAACAAAACAACCACTAAACCAACATATGTCCTCGACAATTTACGACATACAAGATTTTTTTTCACAAGCGTAAATAACAAGGCAGGTGTAAACCGAGAGAGGGAGGGAAAAAGTCCGAGTTAGAGAGAAGAAGAGAGAGAGAGAGAAAATGCGAAAGAAAAAGAAAGACAGAGAGGAAGGGAAAACAAAAGGAGTAGCGACGAGGCCAACCGAACGTGGTTGTCGTTAACGCGCGAGCGAGCAAGATAAACACGCTCGCACTCGCTCACGCCTGCCTCGCACGCACACGCGCAAGCGCCTAGAAGTCAGCTGGTTAAAAACAGCTGTGCCCAAACGTCGAAGCGCGGCGACGCAATGACGGATTAAATGTTCCCGCGACGATCGCGCGAATAAAATCAAATGCACACTGTATACGTAACATCGTTATCGCGTAAACATGATGTGAAATATTGCAACACGAGACTTAAATGGAGCAATATACACTAATAGACAGAAGAGAAATTGAAAATTTAAATGTAAAAATATTTTGACGTTTTAACGCATCACGTATATCATGTATAGGGTATATCTTGCTTAAAAATAGATATCTTTCTTTCTTTTTAGCACATCTTGTTATTTTTCTCGCGCCAATATAATAATTATCATAGTCGATAATCATGCTCGATAAGCGAGTCAGCGAAATTAGCACATACACATAATTTACACATTTTATGTACAGAGTGTTGGAAAAGCTGGATATACATAATTATTAAGATTGTATCAAGAATCGGAAAGATGGGAAGGAAAATCTAAAAGAATATATCTCTTTGTACAAATTCAACGAAACGTTTCAATCTTTACATAAACCATTATTTAAGATTGTTTTTATAATTTGAAGGAGATATATGTTTAATTAATTCATGAAAACATGTTTTTATAATTTGAAGGAGATATATGTTTAATTAATTCAAGGAAAAAATGAGAAAAGAAGTTTCGATAAAAATGTGATATATGAAACATATATGAAAAAACTTGTACACGCGAATGATATATTTTGAATATATATGTTCAATCTTTATTTACCGAACTCTAATCACGAATTTGAAACGTCAACATTCGAAATTTCAACGCCAATATTCTTAGAGTCGACGGTAAAAAGATTGGAAAATAGCGTTTAATCGAATTTTCACGAAGGAAAAATCGTGCAGTGATAATCAACAAATCTGAAATTGTGTATTTGTGCAGCTTTTCATACACTCATGCACACACACACACACACGCAGGACACAAGCACAGGCGCACGCGTGCGAGGAGGACAGAGACGTTGGAATCGCGTCCCGCTCTCACGTGTGCGCCACTACGCAAAAACGAAGAATGACAGGGGTACTTATCGGATACGCAGGCACAGCTTAGAGCGGAGAGAAGGGGAGTTTTTTTTTTAAAAAGCGGCTCTCCAAGGATACAATTTGATAACGTCCGTGTCCATACGTCGCTTGCCGGCGCTGGGGGACGACATATTTTATCGGTGCTCCTCGATCGTCGCGGTGCTGAGTTCGGCAGGAGACCTTCCTCGCCCCGCAGCGCTGCTGTTAGCGTCCACCACCACCACCTCCTCTTCCTCCTCCTCTCGATTCTCTCGCCGCGCGTGGATCAGCTGAGCCCGACAGACGATCCGCCGTGCCCCGGGAGGGCCTTCCTGATGAAAAACTCTTTTCGCAGAAAGAGTTCACGCTCTGCGGCCGTACTTCAACACTGTGGCAACGCGCACTTTTGTCCCCCGACGATAATGTAAACGGAGCGTTATATTCAGCACACTGAACGACCGAGAGAGAAAGAGAGAGTCAGCGTGAGCGAAGAAAGAGGGGAACTGAGCTCGAGCTCGGGGGAGAGAGAGAGAGAGAGAGAGAGAGAGAGAGAGAGAGAGAGAGAGAGAGAGAGAGAGAGAGAGAGAGAGAGAGAGAGAGAGAGAGACACAGCAGAGACGCACACATCATGCACACACATACACACACACATGGACGGACGGACGGACGGACGGAGGGAAGGAACGAAAAAAAAACAAAGACAACGCTCGCAAGCACGACGATCGACTAGTCGATCGACCGGATTCTCGAGTGAGGCCCTAACCGAAGGGCGAGAAACGCGTTTTACAATTCGACGCGAGTAAACGCGACGTGGAATAATCCACCGCGAGGTGAAACGTCGTTCTTAATCCTTCCTTCCTTCTTTCCTTTCTGCGTACAAGCGTCGAATGTCGCGTGTACATATGTATATATGCGTGGTGTCATGTGTGTTTATAAGCTCGTGAGAGCGATCCTTCTCTCTCTCTCTCTCTCTCTTTCTCTTCCTTATTCGTTATCCCGAAAAAATAAAAGCTCTACTACCAGACGAGAACGATTCGCCTCTTGCTCCACTTCCTTCCCGTCGTCGTCGGCCTTTCCTTGTGCGTGGACCAGGCCAGAAAGCACGGAGCTAGAGGATCATTTCGTCGTCGATAACGAGTCCGCGTTCGTCGACTGCCGTGTTTCACTCGCGACGGTTTGTCGCGCGCGCTCTCTTTGTCTCTCCCTCTCTCTCTTTTTGTCGCCTTTTTTGCTCGTTATCTCTGTCGTTCGCGTACGCGTACACACAGAAAAGAAATATTCCCGTCCTCCTGCCAGAGAGAGAGCCTATGCCAACCACCGTCGCGTAAACGCCTGTTCTTTCTCTCTCTCCCTCTCTCTCATGCACCCCGCGACCTATCAATCCGCGATCTTCGCCACCATCTGATTCCGTTCTCGTCGCTTGCACACTGGACTCTCCTGGCCTGGCCGACGCTGCTGCCTCTGACGAACGAGTCGAAGTAGCATCCCACGCATGCGCGTAACCTCTGAAAATCACTCGAGTGAAGTTATCGGCGCTCGCACTAGATGCGCCATTTTCCATCGTAGGCATGTGGCGGGAATTTAAATGCTCACCTTAGCGCGTTACAATTTACATATTATCAGATTTATTTATTAGTATCCACTAATATCTATTAATCCATCACATAAAATGCAAGGGACGGCTACAACAAATCTATTTATTTAAAAAATGAGTATATTAGTGTATAAAAATGAGTAATGTAGTATAAAATTGATTAAATTATGTAAAATATTAGTCGCAATATAGGGATATAATACGTTGTTTATAAATATAATTATTTTCGATACAATACATAGCATGTTTCGTAGAGATCACGATGATAAAACATTAGTAAAACACAAATATTAGTTAATAAAATTATTGAAAGACTGGAAACTAATTAGTAGGTTGCTTATATATAACAATTTAAACCGATTATTTATATAAAAGCAATCGTGCAATGTGATTTAAATACTACTACACAATTTAAGTAACTAATATGTATTAAGTTAATATATAAAAAACCTATTGCACATTATTTATAAATATATTATTTTATATATGTGATCACTACTATATAAATATTATTATTAAGAATGTCTCAGTAAATACATACAATCATTTGTAAATTATATTATCACACAATTTTTGATTTAAATTTGGCTACAGATTTGTGTAAACATCTCAATTTTTTATAGTGTATATAAATAAAGAACTTTATATATATAGTGTAATATATGTAATAAAAAACTGATATTATTAAACAGTAGACTTAAGTAAATTGGCACATTTCGTACTATCTGTACGAAATTTTTGTTTTTAGCATGTATGTTATGTATAATATGTGTTATATTATGTGCAAATACATATTATAATAAAAATAATAAATACTGATTTTAATACTATTAATCATGATTGAATGCATTGTTACAAATGATAGAGATGAATGCCTAATAATGATATGTATAATATACTAAGATATACGAGATTTTTTTATAATTTGAGTTGAAGCAAAGATTACATTCTTTCTTCATTTCTTTTCTTCATGTCTTATATGTATGATAAGAGATAATAATTTTAATAATATACTTTCGAATTCTTAAGATAAATATATCATCTACGTCTATTTTGTTACATTGTTGATTAACTGCAATAAATCACTTATACAAAAGTCTAATATTTATAACGTCCTATAAGATCGAAATAGAATGCTGAAATATTTTAAAATTGTATATTTTTTACTTTAAGAAAGAATAACTAACTGTTATAGTTGTAGCAAAATGTCATAGTTCTCATATTAATAGACGAATTATGTATTAATATCAAAGAACAATATTAGATTATTGCAGTAATGTTACATAACTCTCAAACGCTCATAACTCTTGTTTTTTAACTCATATATGAGAGTATATAATACTAAGAAAATGTCCTAAAATAGTATAAAACATATACCAAGAAAAAATGTTTTAACTTTCTTTCAACATTGAAATTTCATTAACAGACGAAATGTGTCTTATCAGTATAAGCTCTGTAAAAACTAATTATGTATGATAATCCATATATTAAGTACAAGAATTTATATATGAAACACACACACACACACACATATATATATATATATATATATATATATATATGTACATATATATTATTTATTATATATAATTATATATATAGTTATAATATAGATTATATATAATTATAAAATTAAGTACACGAATGTATATATGAAACAAATATATATATATATATATATATATATATATATATAATTATATATGTTCATATATCAATCTTATCCCAATTAGAAAATAATTGCTATTTGTTACATAAAGTCATCTCATTGTATATGCATATAAAATATTTGATTCAAAAAGTTTGATTGTCGTTTACCCACTGATTTTACAAAATTTAAGCTAAAAATGTAAAAAAAATTGAGCTAAAAATATAAAAAAAAATGTTCAATATGTTTATTAAAATATTAAAATAATAATTTTATATTAAAGAAAACACACATATATTAAAATATAATAAAATAATTTACATGCACTAGTTTTTATACTCATTATTTTTCAACATCATTTTTAAATGAACAATTTTATCTGTTAAATATCAGTTTGTATTTTAACATAATACACACACACATGTTGTGTATATTATATAAGTTTTTATAAATAATATATAAAAGCAGATCATATATTCATGTTTTAGAGCTTATACTTATGACATATACGAACCAGTATAAAGTGTGACACTATGAAATGACTTATGTATATCCTATCATAGATAATATAAATATGTATATAACATACAAAAAATATTGGAAGCAATAAATAATCGAATTTGGCATATAAAATTGTTATTATAGAAATATTATCAGTCATTGTGTTCCTAATAAATAGTGAAAAATCTAATATATAGTTCTATTTATAAATTCTAATTATAACAATTAAGTACATTAAATATAAGAACTTGCCATCTCTTTCTGCTGCTTACAAATATACAAATAAAAATATGTACTTTACTCTACTGCAGTTTTTCGTGCAAATGCAGTTAGAGACAGCATTTCATTAGGATCAGTTGGCAAGGGAGAAAATTCAATTTCCTCGCTAATACTGTTCTCTGGAAAATTGAAATATGTTTTATTCCAATGTAACAAATATTCCAAATATTTTAATATTAACAAATATTCCGATGTAACAGAATTTAATAAAATTTAAAATTTAATATTAACATACAATACACAACAAATCTCAAATATATACTAATATTTAATTTATAAATATAAATATATACTTACCAGATGGTTCAATTGGCCATTGCTTATGAGAAGGAGCGTAGAGACATAATAATGCAATGATATAAATGTTCCACATACCATATACACCAGTAAAGAAAGCAGAAGTCATTTCCAACTCTAAATCTTCATCCCATTTCCATTGACCTTCTGCAACCTATGCCACATTATGGCATTATAAAAAACGTACATAATTAATATTACATAATTATATATTAAGTTACAATTATATATAATAAGTTAATTAATATAGTTAGTATAATTTACATATAATCAAATAACATCTCGAATCGAATAACATTCATTTTTTTACCTGTCCTAATATAAAGCCAACAACAGTTAATGATGCGCATAATAATGTAGCAATCATCAAGAATTTGAAACGATATATAACTCCTTCATAATGCAGACGTCGTGCCGAACTCATGCTGGGTAAAACAGCCCTCTTTGCGCTAATATTCTTAAATACTTTCCATATCATATAAGACAAAAACAGCAAGTATATTCCAGCTGATATTCCAGCCAAAATAATAAAGGATAACTATTGTTTGTTTAAGAAAATAAATTTGAAGAATTATCTTAAAAATATCTTTTCAAAGGCTTTAAAATATAAAAAATAATTTTCGAAAAAAAAGGATACTGCCAATTTTGTTCCAATATCAGTAACCCAAATCGAGTAGAATGGATTTCTCAATTGTACACCGCGTTCACACATATCAAATATAAATAGTGAGAGACATCCAGTACCTACTGCAGAGAGATGTCGCCAATAGCATTTTAAAGAATTGCTTTGTTCACCCTCCTAAAACATACATTATTAAATTCGGTATCTTTCAACAATATAAAAATAAAGATTAGTTGTTATGGACAAAAAAGGCTCACCTGAATCTAATGAAGAACAAATGCATATATGAAACAAAAAAGGAATATAAATTATTGTTAATATAATAATTATCTGACAACGAGAATTACAAATAATAATTTAATTTTACTCACCATTAAATGTTCACCAGCAAACACAAGCCAGAATGATAACAATGTTGCATAAAATATTCCTTGTCGAATATCACCCAGCAAAAGCATAAATGGCATATCATAAGCAAGTGTCAAGTATTCTAAGGGCACTAAAAATATAATTTAAAAAATAAAGATTTACAGATGATTACTGTGACATAATTAGAAATATTTAGAAATGTACAGAATGTAAGTAACAAACATACAGTTTAAAAATGTTAAGGCAGAACCCAAGGTTAAGAGCATATATTCCAAAAGTGCAGGCGATCTGGATAGCATGTACACTCTTTTCCAATACCAAGTCAAAACACCTAGCACTATGGGGAAATAAACGGTTTTCAGACTCACCCATACTTTTGTGAACCCACCGTTTTGATTAATAGCCTACATTATAAATAACATATTGAATTAAATAATATCCATAATTAAAATTTTATAGGCAAAATGTAATATTTTCTCATACTCACTGTAAGCCATAAATCAACAATACGTCCCAATCCCTGGTTTTTACCAGTATTAGAAGGAAGACGAATATTTAACAAGTAATAATCATGGTATAAAGATCCTAATTCAAACAATGGCATAGCTTTGCAATTGTAATTATATTGTTCTCGTGGCTGAAAAGTATTACAAATATTATAATATTACATATTTGCATATGATTATATAAGAATGTGCAAAAAACAAGCTTATATTATATATTATTATTTTTACCATATCTATGCTGCAATCTAAAATTCTCTCCACAGTAGAAGAAGCATATGGTTTCCATACATCTTGTGGATCCTTGCTTCGATAGGCTAATCGTGCATCCAATGTTATCAATGTCCTACGAGCTGTAAAACAATAGAATATAATAAAAATAAATAATAATTAAAATGTCAATAAAATGTCAATAACAGCTTATATTACCAATTTCAACCTCGCTATTATAACGTATATCCACTTGTAAAACTCCTATTAAATTTTGCTGCCATCTTGAGTAATCAAGATCTAAATTGTTTCGAGGTACAGGCATCTAAAATAAAATTTATTACATTTCCATAGTTATAAATATTCTAGTAATTGTAATATAATTCTATAAATTATATACCTGAAATGTATACACAATTTGATATGGTTGTTGATGAGTGTCCGAACTAAAATGTGTATCGTCAACTGAAGTACAAGAACCATTTCCTCTTGAGTAAAACCATTTGTTTTCATCAGATCCATTAATACTAGTATCTTTACATTGCGTGCCAAGAATGTTCTGACTACTGGCAGGTGTAGGCGCTAAGGAGAATCATATCACTTTATGTATTTTCATACAAATTTATCCCAAATACAATTATATCCAATATAATATACTTTATTTCATTTCTTTCATTATATTCATTTCATAAAAAATTTATCACATATTACTAATAGATTAATATGAATACAAAATAAAAAATACAAGAAAATTTCCACACACAAACATCAAAAATATTAAATACATATAATTTTAAAGCTTATTAAAAATGAATTTCTATTATTACTTTGCAATATAAAGAAAGATATGTATAAAATAAAATGTAAAAGACTATAAAAGGAGAAAAATAAATGTGTTTACAGCATGCCATATATTTCTTATTATTCTAACAAAAACAGTAATGTAGCAATTATAACATTGATGAGTTTATTTATTTAATTGCTTACCAATTAAACCCCCTATCAAAAAACAAACTATTTGTGCAATTATCAAAAGTATCACAAGCAACGAGAGCTTCTTGCCGCTCAGATTTTCGATTATCGTGCCCTGCATTTTCTCACGTGCTTGTTCAGTGACTTGTATCGCGACTGACTTACTAACACGTGAACGAAACTTCAAAGCACACCGACGCCGAAACCGATCGAATCAACGTGGACGCGACAGACGCGGACAACAATAAGTTCGTCTTTCGGAGCCGGGGGTGGTCTTTCAAGATGGAAGCCACCATTACCACACAAAGAAAAATTTTCACCAAATCACGGCATTTTCACCACTCACGGCATTCGTGAAATTTTGAATTTCGAGATATCGAATTCTATTTGCTAGGCCATGGATAAATTTTCATCACCATCAATTTTCAGCGTCAAAAGACATCACTTGATTAAAAATAAAAATCAATTTGTTATTTTATCACGTGCTGACTTTTAATGCTGAAAATGAGCGTCGAATGTTCTATGAATTTATGCTTTTAAAAAAAGGATGACAACATCATTTTGTCCAAGCTTCCGTTTTCGAGTTTTCGATGATATATGTATCGATGTATCGATATTACGAGAAATTTATTCATTTTATCTGAGTGAAGCACGAAAATAAAAATAAAAATTAGATATTTTTTGTTTACAAATATTTCAAATAGTATTGTATTCGTGTATAAATTATGTCAATGATAATTTTAAGCAATATTTGTACAAAGAATTTTGACAGCTGATTTTTTACTGAATGTGTGTGATCTCTGTTAAGTAATTTTAGGTTAAATATGGTAAGAATGAGCTCTGATTTTACATTGTTGATACTAATGTTGGTTGAATGCGTTTCATCTCTGTGTTAGTTTCCTATTGATTGTGTTTGTATATTATTTTATTTCATCCGTAATCTCTGTATTTTCAGAGAAAATTGGTAGTATTATATTGCGCAACATAAAATCAAATATAATAGCAATGCAATGTTGCTTGTATGTGCTAATATATTTTTGTAAATTATATGTTCTTATACTCTTCAACTTATAGTTTTATATATCTCATTGTCAGAGTATATTTTTACCATTTGTATAATCTTTTTCTATTGTTCAATGATGTTAAATGTTTTGGAGTATATTTCTCTATTTTACTCATATTTTACTTGTATAGTTTTCTATTGATGTTAAATGATGTTCATTAAATGTAAAGGTGCACGTAAAATAAACATAGATTTCTAAAAATACACAAAATCTTAGATCACATAATATCAATTTATATAAATTAAAAAAATACTACATATTACTTATTTTTTATAAAACAATGCACAACTTACAAGTTGCAGTCAAAATATACAATTAGCATGACAAGGAAATATATTTTTTAATTGCATGTATTAAATGTAATTCTCTTTTAACCTCTATGTATAAATATATAATTATTTTTTGAATATAGAATATAAAATATTTGATGTAATTAAAAAAGAAAAAAAGATATCATCTCTGTTAAAAAGAATTCATCCAATTTACACTTTTTTTTATAATATAGTTGAACATGTTAATAAAAAGAAATAAGTCATGTATAAGCTTCTAAATTATATTCCCAAACTTCATATCCACAAAATATACTCTTAGAGACGTAATCTATTTTATCTAATATGAATTAAAAACTATAGTATCTAATGTTATTTACTCTGAATAATGTTATTACTGAATATTTTACAAGAAATTTTACCATTATATTGAATATAATCGATTGATATCGGTTAATAATTATGCATATACATGAAAGAATATTTTTTTATTTTGCAATATAAAAATTTATGATTTTTTTTGACGAAATAAATCACGTTACGCATATTATACGTAATTCCGAAGTTTTATTGAAACAAACGCAAATTTAGAACCGTGGCGGGAAAATATATATGTATATAATGTACCGACAATTTCCGAAGATTTCCGATTGCGAGTAAAAATGCACGGAAGCATCCAGCAGCAATCGTGAACGGAGATCCTCGTTATTGCCTACAACATACATGTATAAAGCAGGGTTAGAAAGTGACGTAAGCACGGAGAAACAAACAATTTATAGTGTAATATATGTCGGCCGAGAGACTACGTAAGGTGACGTAAATGTCAAAGGACTTCCGCGTGCGGTACGATTTATAATCTAGCGGACGTCTCTCCTCCCCTCCCCCGCTAGATCGTCGTGTCGAACCGGGATGTTCTAAAGATCGGGAACGGGAGTATCGCGGCCGCGTGCCGTCTCGGAAAATGTGTGAGGTAGCGATGGATGCGAACGGGAACGGCAAGCGCGATCCTCTTCACGGGGGTTCCGTGTATTCTCATCGACGTGCGGCCAGCAACGACGTGAGTGAGAAAATATCATTGAAAAATATCTCGGAATTTCGCATTACGTATAAGTGCACCGATGAACTAGATTGCCCCCCTGTCCTTTTGACAACGCTCACACATGGCTGTAATTTAATTATTCTTTTGAGTAATATATACAAATGAATAATTGCTGTGTTTATAGATGTATACAAATTTTGTTTGTTGTGTGTATGTGTGTCTGTAGTTTATTGTTTCATATTTGATTGAAATTTAGAAACTATGCTTTGATAAAATTATAGTAAATTTAATATAATGACAATTGAATATATTGAATATTTAACAAAAATAAAAGTTTTATATTACTATAATTACTATAATTACAAAACAGCTTTCTACCTGACTTTGTCTCATTATTACTACGATTCCAGGAAAGCAACAGAACTACAGATCTGGAATTTATTTATGATGACACTGATATACATGCTAATGAGATTGCTGAATTATATAGTTATACAGAACAGTATGAATTACAACTTAATCTTAAGGTATAGTTGGTATAGTTGGATTATATAATAATTAATTTATTATATGAATCAAAAGTGAATAAAATATGGCAACAAATATAAAAACATAAATGAGTATTTATTAATTCTAGGCTTTTGAAGATCAGATGGAATGGTATAAGTTACGACCATGGTGGCAAAACTTGACAAGATCGCAGCAAAAATCGATTATCTATAAATTGCTGGATCAATTGGAAGTTTCTAATAAACAGCTCAGAATGAAAGCAGCACGCTGCATCCTTTATTTAGCTCAGGGTTGTTGGGCTGAGGTACAGTCTGACAAAGAACAACAAGACTGGACTAGGACAAATGTAATGTTACTCTATGAAGTTGGCATTTTTCCAGCATTTGTTGAACTACTAAATATTGAGATTGAGTAAGATTATATTATATATGTATATTATGCTGGAATGCACTCTTTTTTTATTTTTTATACATTGAAGGATTTTTCCAGGAATAGCACAACTGCTACCTCAGCAATGAGAAAGCTAGCTGTTAGTCTTGCTGATTCGATAGATCTAAGAGTCATTTTGTCCGTTTTGTATATTATAACAGAAGCTATGAGAGAGGAATTAAGAAATATTGAGCACAGCGAGTATAAAGAAAATGTTGAAGGTTTCAAAGAAGATCTTGGTATGTTATTGTGTTTATGTAGAATATTTTAACAAATACTATATTACAAAGGAAAGTTTAATCTTTTAAAAAAAATGTCAATGGATGAATATGTTTTTTCCATAGTAAATCCATATGGAGAAGAATTGCTAATTGTTAAACTTCTCGGTATGGTGACGTGCTTCTGTAGTGGCTCGGCACCACATTTTCCTATGAAAAAAGTTCTCTTGCTTTTATGGAAGCTAATCTTGGTCTCTCTCGGTGGTATCGACTCACTTAGAGAGTTGAAGAAACAGTATCGCGAGGAAGCTGGCCTCGATACACAACAGGAAGACACTATCGAAGTTGCCAGAACAATGAGAGCAAGTTCTCCACCTATGAGTGCAGCAGATTTGTTAGAAACGCAAAATCAGAAAAGGAACAATCGACCTTTTCGACGGGTAATTTGTCAGTTTACAAATATTATACATTGCTTGTGCTTTTACAAATATTAGTAATAGATATTTTTTATAGAACTTTCTAATGAAACAAAGCTCATTAGATGATCCAGGCTTAGGTATGGAATATGAAGGAGGGGAACCTCCAAATAATACTACAACAAATGAAGGTGATGGTGAAGTTATTGTATTTCTGGGTCCTGGTGGACCTGGTGGCTGCTGGAATCAAACATATTATGAAGATCAGAATAATCAAACACAATTAAGGCCAGGTACTCCACAGCTTATAAAAGGAAAAGGTAATATGGGTATAGGTTATTTTAATCTTATTAATTCTTATATTAATATCTATTAATATTATTCATCAGGTTTACCATGGACACCGAAAGTAAGACAAAAAGATGTAGACAGCTTCCTTGAAGTTGCCAGACTAAAATTTGTTGGTTATAAATTACAAGGAGACAGGGAAAGTTTAGCGGGTTTGCCACAACCAATTCATGAAGGTGTTATTACCCTTAAAAAGGTATTTGCTTATATTAATTATATTGCTATAATATCACACTATATTCTACTAAATGTTACGTTTTAGCATATGTACACATCTCTAGCTGAAATTCAGATACGGAAGGAAGAAGAGATAGCAAGAAATCCTATGAGTACTTCAGAACCACCTTTACGTCTAACGCCAACAGAAATTCTTTATCAAGCTATATTACCTAACTTACCACAATATATGATTGCGTTATTAAAAATATTACTTGCTGCTGCACCAACTAGCAAAGCTAAAACAGACAGCATTAATATTTTGGCTGATGTATTACCAGAAGAAATGCCGTGAGTATAAATAATAATATGTTACATTAGCATGAGGCTTTTAAAATAATAAGAAATACATTTATATTATACTTTCAGAATGACGGTATTACAATCAATGAAATTAGGAATCGATGTTAACCGACATAAAGAGATAATTGTTAAAGCTGTTTCTGCAATTTTACTACTGTTGCTCAAACATTTCAAACTGAATCACATATACCAATTTGAATTTATGTCACAGCATTTAGTATTTGCAAATTGTATACCTCTTGTATTAAAGTTTCTAAATCAGAACATTATAGCTTATATTGAAGCAAAGAACACGTAAGGAAGAATGCAAAATTGCAAATTAAATTTTTAATTATATACATTATAATATTTCCAATAATTTGATAATTTATATTTCAATAGTATTCCTATTCTGGATTTCCCCATGTGTGTCATTGGTGATCAACCAGAATTAACTACTGAAAGTCTCGAAATCGGCCATAGTCAATCTTTTTCATGGAGAAATGTTTTCTCTTGTATCAATTTACTAAGAATTTTGAACAAATTAACTAAATGGAAACATAGCAGGATAATGGTAAGTCAATAACAAATATAATTATATATATATATATATATATATATATATATATATATAAAATTACAATATCATATATTACATATAATTTATATGTATTCACAATTCATTTATATTTTCAGATGTTAGTCGTTTTTAAATCAGCACCTATTTTAAAACGCACATTGAAAGTTAGACATGCAATGATGCAATTATATGTTTTAAAGTTATTGAAAATGCAAACGAAATATCTCGGTCGACAGTGGAGAAAAACAAATATGAAGACAATTAGTGTTATTTATGCAAAAGTTCGACATCGCTTAAACGACGATTGGGCATACGGCAATGGTATAATAAATTTGGAATATTTTATATTTGTGTGTGTGTATATATATGAGTAAATAAATAAATAAATATGTGTGTGTGTGTATTTTATATATACATATATCTATTTATTTATTTACTCATTTTTTTGTTTGTGTCTTTGCTTCAAATTTATGAAAACTTTAATATGAGTTTATTATATGAGTATTATTGCCTTAACCAAATTACAACATAAGAAATATGTAATATAATTTCATACTAATTAGATTTAGAAGCGCGACCATGGGATTTTCAAGTTGAAGAGTGCGAGTTACGTACATGTGTGGATCAGTTCAATAATAGAAGATACTCAAATACCTTGAGAGATGAAGAAATGGAACCAATTGATGCATCTGTAACGTCAGTACTCGGTGGTACAAATGTGGAATTGACTGAAGAATTTAAACAACATTATGAGTTATGGTTGCAACAGGAAGTATTTCAGAGGAGTATCAATTGGGATGAATTATTGGATCCTGCGGCATGTGAAATTTAAGCTTAATATAAGTAAAACCCATATAAATCGCATTTTAATTAAATCAGACCTGAATAAAATTGGAACATTTTTACGAATTACTATACTGTTGTGAGAAGTGTGTTCAAACAACAACAAAAACATTGCCATATCGACACTGCATAAATTTCAAAGTTACATTTGATATTGCAGTGAATGGTCCTAATCTAGAAAATGTTTAACGAAGAAATTTTTGATGAAACATGTAAAACATTTAACATTTCTTTTGTATTTAATCTGTGCAATGCAATATAGTGCTGCTAAATATTTTTTATTATTAAAAATCACTAATTTAAATGTATGATCTTCTCTTTTATATATGTAAAAACACATATAACAAAATATATATATATATAATTATTAAAATTTAGAATACATTTTAATAAAGTATCTGATTGGCTGTTAACTGTATCACAACTGAATCTCCATAAATTTGAATAATTCATATAGAAAAATAAAAGAACACTTATATAAAAATTAATTTACAGTTTTTATAAGAACATGGATTATAACGGCTGTTTTTGGGAAGTCGCTTTATGCGCTAGAAGCGTCGTTCTATCTTTGTTAATTTGTTAAAGTTACAAGGACAACACGTTCATAATGCTAAAAGCGTGCTTTCTGAATGCTTCCCAATATGTATTATAGATTTTTTTGTAGTATATACAAATTCCCAATTAACAAATTAGTACTAATAATTCTTTTATACACGATAAAGATATATTTTACAATCTGCTCAATTATGCCTAAATTCTTCTGTGGAATCTTCATAAATTTAAGATTCTACAAAATTTTGCCCAAATCAATTCAATTGATTATTTTTCACCTGCTACTATTGTTCTAGTCAATCGGCCGTATTGAAGTCGAAACTTTATTTTTGATTTTGAATTAAAAAATCGTATAATCTACTATTTTTTTCCTATATCAATGATATTTAATCCGTTTTAAGCTGTAAATTTATTACAAGATACAATAATCCATATCCTTTGTGTACATTCCAAATGACAATATTACGTGATCATAATTCTATTTATCAACAAATGTGCTCTTTGCATAATATTAAGTTCTTTTTTTTACTTGTTTTGATTACTAATTCAGAAAAACGCGCGTTACATCTTTTTTAAAAATTATATATTATGTTGATATATAGTAACTAGATTGTTTTATATATCATAATATATATAATTTAAGTATATAATATATCAAATTTTCAATTTCCTACATTTTATATGTTTTTTATATATTCTTGATCTTTCTATATCATAAATCATACCATAAATCTACCATAAAAAGAATATTAATATATATATATATATATATATATATATATATATATATATATATATATGCAAAGATTCAATTTTTTTTTAAGCTTCTACCATTTATTATACGAAAAATATATATATATATATTTATTTAATATATATTAAATATTTAATATTTATTAAATATATATAAATTATATATATTTTCAGTTCATTGTTAATCATGATATCAATTTATAATTCATGTATTCATATAATTGGGTTTATATAAGAGAAAGCTGAATAACAGAATTATATAATAAGTTACAAAATTTAGTGTGTTGTAAAAGATGCAAGATAATTTGCTACTGCTTACCTTTGTAGTACACTTTAAGTAAAATTTTTTCATAAGTATGTACATGTGTGGCAATTCAACTTTCTCTTGTTTATTTATAGTTATATAGTTACGTAATCTCACACACAAATCTCTATGTATAATCTCGCTGTATAATTTATTATAAAGATATTTGTACACAAATATGTCACATTTGTATGTTATATCACACATGTTTTACAACTGTCAAGATTTAATAAAACTGATCTAAATAGATTAATTGAATATATTTCTTTGCAAAATTCTAAGAAATATTCTTACTTTAAATGGAAATTGTCTCTAAATTGAGATCATGATGAAATTGTATGTAAAAACTTCACATATGCAGATAAAAATAGAAATATATGTAAAATTATAAAAACATGTATATAATGATCTCAAAATTTTTGAAATGCAGAAGTTTCTAAAAATTGTGCCTCTTTAGTAAATCTTAAGTAAATCTTCATAGATTTTTTAAAATTTGTACTTGCATAATATATAATGATTATGTATCACAGTGTCACGGTTTTACCCATTTGTATGAACCATAATAAGCGAAATTATTTCTTTTTGCCATGTCATCCGCTTCCTTGGGTCCCCGAGACCCATATCTAAAATTTTAAAAGAACAGTCATACATTTTGCGATACATATACGATATAAGATATACATATTTTGTAATACGTACTTATATGGAACGGGCTGGATTTTCTCTTTTTCGATTCGATGAAGTAATGGCGTAAATATTCGCCACGCTTCCTGCAATTCATCATTTCGTACGAAATGCATTTGCGAACCACAAAAAACATCTAAGATCAATCTTTCATAAGCGTCCGGTAATTTTAAATCCTGAAAAACGAAATGTAACATTTGTTTATGAAATATGTATTTGTACTCTGAGTGTGATATATTATTACTAAATATCTTTTCTTCGATTTTAATATTAATGTTAAATTCTTCATGAATGACGTATTATTTACCTTGTATCTATTACCATAAGTAAGATCTAATTCTGTTTCTTCCATATCGAATGTGATACCAGGAGACTTCGTCATCATTTTAATATATAATGCTTCACCTGGCTGTACTCTTATCACCATTTCGTTTCTCTTCGGCTTCCCATCAAAAATATCACCTGGTACGTCGTGATATTGTATTCTAACTTCTGCTTTGCGTTCATTTAAAGCTAAAATATCGCGTGCAATAATTAGAAGAGAAAAAATAACTACTTGTCGAGAAATAGATTTTCTCATCTTACCTTTTCCACATCTGAGAATGAACGGAACTCCATCCCATCTTTCATTATTTATTTTTAGCACTGCTAAAGCAAAAGTTGGTGTATTAGAACTTGTTGGTACCGTGGGATCATCCAAGTAACCTAAATGTGCTTCTGGATCCTCAGCATCCGGATCTCCGACATATTGACCGAGAATCACATTTTCAAGTTGTAGTTCCTTAATGCATCTCAAAACTTTTACCTTCTCATTTCTAATATCGTCTGGATGACAAGATGCAGGTTTCTCCATGGCTACTAGAGACAAAATCTGCAGCAGATGATTCTGCATCACATCTCTGATGATGCCGAACTCGTCGAAATAGCCGCCTCTACCCTGAGTACCAAATGGTTCCTTGAAGGTGATCTGCACCGAAGCTATATTATCCCGATTCCATGACGGATTAAACACCCTATTTCCGAATCTCAAAGTCATCAGATTCTGTACCATCTCTTTGCCGAGGTAATGATCGATACGATAAATCTGCTCCTCGCTGAACAGAGACGCCAAATTTTCGGAGAGCTTCTGTGACGAGATTGCGTCATGACCAAACGGTTTCTCGATTATTATTCTTGTCCATCCTCTAAAATTTTAATATATAATGCATTTTTCGTAATAAAACTGGAAAAATATTTTGAATAATTAATGAAATAAATTAATGATTTCAGAAATGATTTTCAAATATTTGTTTTTCTTTTAATTTTTTAATATACTTCAATCTCTCATTAATTGCTTTATTCCTCGAAAATTCCAAGTTTTTATGCTTACTTATTTCCCATGCAGGTAAGTCGAAGGCGTAGTGTAACACTTTCGAATACACTCGGTGGCAGTGCCAAGTAAAACAGCCTATGCGCAACTTGTCCTTGTTCGTATTTTTGCAATTCACGATCTAATCGCTCGAAGTCATCTCGCTTATCGTATACACCAGCAACGTAATGATTCAGTTTCCAAAATTCCTCATACTTTTCCTCTTCGCTTGACTTCACTTTCATATACGGATGACATTTTTCACGCAATTGCTGTACCGTCAATTTGCTTCTAGCATACCCAATGAAGGTGGTGGGTTTCGGCAGAAGATTGTCTCGAAAAAGCCACCATAGAGTTGGATAGATTTTCTTCTTAGCAAGATCACCCTTTTTGCCAAAATCAATATAATTAAAATTCGGACATGAAATGAAAGAAATATGAAATGCAAAAGAAATTAATTATCTGCTTATTATAATGTATATACTTCTAATATGTAAATATAATGTTAAAAAAAATAATTCAAAACCTATTTTAATATTGTTTGTTTCAAGAACATTACAAACATTACGATTGTTGAAAAATTTATTTCAAAACATTCACAATTAAATCATAAAAGTAAAATTATACGTGTATTAAAATGATAATATGTATTACGATAAATAATTTTAAACAAATATAAAAGATAAATTATTTACTTTCATGATTAATTGTACCATATCTTATTACTTTTTATTTACATATATCTTATATATTTTTTGAAATTAAACACTCACAGATGCTCCGAGAGTAACAAACAGATGCGGAATTAGCCTGTCGAAATGAGTTCCTTCCAAGTGATCCATTTCTTCCGATGTCAAGGATTGCCTGATATATTGCAGGCTCTCCTCCGTTGATGTCTCTATAGATTACATATTTATTTAGTTATAACACATTATATTTGTACATGCATTGCGGCTATTTTTATATATCGTTTTTAATTAGCGTTTCATATCTTAAAAAATCTTGATAAAAGAAAAACAGCAGAATTAATTAATTTCTCGTATGTATTTTAGATGTGAATATAAATAAAAACAATGCATACGTTTCGCAGGTGAACGTACAATTGTAAATGCTATGAGTTACGCAACAATTAATGAATCCGTTATTGAATCTAAAAAAGTTTGCATTTAAAACACAAGCTTTATTTAGTTTCTTGTTTTTCTCTTTGTAAAAGCAAATTATATGTAAAACACTATCATATGCTGTATGTAATTGTAATTACTTAAGTATTTCATTATTGAATATATTTATAGAAAAAAGGAAAAGGAAATACGTATATATACAGCATAATCTTTAATACTTAGTGTTTCACGGAAAGTTATTAAAATTAATTAATTTGTCATTTTTAAACGCAGATAAAGAACAGAAAAATATTTTCCAACATTTGGCAGCTTTATTTATATATTTACATACTAAAGACAATCGTTACTTAAGACAATCGTTATTTACATACTAAAGACAAAATATTTTTATCATCTAATAAATTTCTAAAAAAAAATGTCAACAATTTTAATGTCATAGCATATTCTTGAATTAAATCTCTTTCGGAAACAATAAAGAATTTTTAAAAATATTTTCGATATTCTGCTCCTCGTCAGAATTAAAACAGATATAAAGTTTCTTTTATAATTAATGATGAAAAATATTACATAAAGTTTTCTATAGTTTTCAATTCTTCCAAAATATATTACATATAAATTAAAATTCATTAAGATTAGAAGATATTTTATTTTCTCTGCACTCTATATACACTCTATATACACTCTATATACACTATTCAAAAGTATTTGGCCACCTAGGTAAATTGTGTTTAAATGACTATAAATAAATAAAAATCATTCATTTATATTAATCTATATATTTAATATCAAAATATACAAAAATTTTAAATTTTTGATTCATCCATGTGTCCTCCTTTATTTTTTATGATGGCTTCACAAAGTCTCGGCAATCTTCTTATTAATTTTTCTAAAGTTTCTTTAGATAAAACACAAAGTCTCGGTAATCTTCTTATTAATTTTTCTAAAGTTTCTTTAGATGAAACACGCGCCTTTGTAGTAAAAACTTAAAAGTATTCTAGGAAAAGAGCCATAAATACCTTATTTGACTTTGTAGCTATCTGTTAGTAAACATGAAGTGATATTTATAATATGAAGTGATATTTATAATATTGAGAACGACTTTCCGTTAGTTAAACAATAAACATCGATAAAAGGCAATAGATACAATTTCGTTTTCGAGTTTTCTCTTAAATTAAGGGTGGCCAAATACTTTTGAGCGGTAGTGTACGTTTAAAAATGACAGTTTATTAATTTCAGCAATTTTCTGTGAGACACCTTATATATCGGTCAATTATTCGAAACATAGTATTATTTTATAAAATATTATATATAAATATATATATATATATATATATATATATAATATTATTATACTGAATTTTTAATACACACGATATTTTTATATAAAATTCATCTAATTAATACAATTATTTAAAATCTTGATCGACTAAAATTGTCATTGCATACTTTATATTATTATTCATTTTATTATTACATAAACCTTAAATATTCATGAAGCTTAATCAAATGCGACGTAATCACTATTCATTGCACTTTTTCATTTGCAATTTTCCGGTCGTACGACAATCATAATGACTACGTCACATACATTAAATGTCAATGTCACTGTTTCGACTATATATATTTTATATATTTATATGTTTCGACTATATATATTTTACATGTAATATTTAATATTATATATAACCAAAATAGTGACATTGACATATTATACGAAATAAATAATGATTATATATAAAATTCACTCAATGAAATTACAGAGATATTTCACGGCAGGAAATTAAATGATGCATGAAAAAACATTTATTATATATAAATTTCTTATATTTTCCACGCAAAAAATTTATATATTCCTCTTTTTCACTGAACATTTTAATAACACATCAAATTTTTTTCTCTTAGAGACAATACTTAGAATTTTAATTTTTCACAAACATTTAGCATTTTAACACTCTCCAACACGTTTTTTAAAAGCTTTGATAGAATCTTGTTTTTCGTATTTATACTTTACAAGTAATTTTTTATATATGTATCATTTACATATTGTGTATCATTTAAATTTTTAATAGTCATGTGATCTTTTATATCCAAGTAAAGGTAAAAATATATTAAAAATGATAAGAGTTATTCTCTCGACATATAATATATTTTATCAGTTTTTACTATCTACTATACTATACTATACTATACTATACTTATACTTTACTACCTACTATTTATAAAAAAAGAAAAAAATTATTAAATTTTTGCTGTGTGAGTAGTATAATTAATAGTGAGAAGTAAATAAGATGAAATTCGATATATACATATATAGTAATATAATATTGCACTGAAATAATATCCACATTTCTTATTAAAATAGTATTTTGAATTCAAAATTTTTTAATCGCGCAAGAATATGACAAGTAGCATAATTTCATATTCCAACTTACTTGAAATACTCATGGTTTACGAGCAAGTTACACAGAAAACAAACTAAAAGATACGTGATTGACTATCTTGCCGATCTCTCTCGACAATCCTGTCGTTTCACTAGCAGAACTTCGACTAAATGTCGGATAAGCCTGAGACGTATGCCACATGCCAGCAGGAAAACGTAAATGCTTACGAGGCAATTGTGAATGATTCGTGACGACAGATTAACTGATCACGGAATTGTTATCCATAAATGAAATGTTTTCAATTTCTTCATTATTTCAAGGTCATATTTATATCATATATTTATATAATGTAGTGCAAATAACCTTTAACTTTAACAAATTACTCTATCATCCTTCGGAATTAAATGCTTAGTTTAGCAAGGATAAACAACCCATATAATAACATAATAAGAATATAATATATTGATTTTTTTGCATATATCCAGCAATTTCCAAGTACATTTACAAGTTAAATGAGTTTTTTTGTTAAGTCATAATTATAAACCATTCCGTTTACGTAATGGAATGATAAGTTTTTTTATCAACAAATCTTATGCGATAGACCATTATCTGACGCGAAATTTTTATTAGTATTAAAATAATTTTACAATTAAAAATCGCGAATAATAAATAAATATTTGCACAAATGTAATAATATATTGATGAATATAGATATTGCATGATGATCGAATCTTGTTCCCGTGCAAATTACAATATATACGTATATATAATGTACTGTTAAATTTAAACAAATTTCCTCTGCAATTTGTGCAAATACTATTTCTTCATAAATAGAAAGGCGCTAATGATTGCTGAAATCACATTGACGGATGTAAGTCAACGAAATACCTTTCTACGAGCTACTCTAAGCATTGCAAAATGGGAAGATTGTCACGTGAAATTGCAACAACAAATTACATGAAAATGTAATAGAATACAGGAAATGAAACCTTACAGATCATGCAGACGTAGATTGCCTAAAAGAGTTGCGTTAAATAGTAAGATGTCTTCAATCATAAAATAGCTATGTGAAATAAAAATTCGAAATATTTGTATGAATTATCAATATTAATGATATTAGCAGAGTTAGTTATTTATAACATCTTGATTTTATGATATCTGATAATGAAATATAAAGTGAATGTGTATTAAAACATGTATTTCACGTAATACATATATAAAAATATTTTATTTTATATTGTCTCAAGAGTATATTTTTAGAGTATTAATTCAATTGACATTAATAATTAACTAATTATTCTAACATAATTATTTTATTTTTGCTATACATGCATAAACGATAAATGCTAAGAGGGAGAACAAAACATACAAGTACATACGTAAATATACACACACATTACATTGTGATAACGATGATTGGCAAATTAACTGCCAACTGATAAGAATGCCAATGAATGCAGCTCTTGAATTGTATATATGACCACAATGTAATAAGTTTTCTTGTACTTTTATTTTTGTGATTCGACGAATTGATTGTAATTAATTTTATTATCATGTGAGCTTAATTTATTCGCTTTTTTGTAATTAGAGCTTCAACAAAATTTCTAACACGATCAATACTTAATGTGCAATATTTTATACTGAATTATTTAATTAAGAGAAACAAATTTTACAAAAAAATTAAATTTTATTTGCTTTTATTTTATCTCTTTTAATCAAATTAATATAAGCACTAGCACTATTCTATCGAAAGGGGGCGAAAAGAAATCGATCAATCAATTGAAAAAGGACAGGTGCATTAATTTCAATTTACTAAAATTAAAAAATTTCATGGCAATAAATTTATTAAAATCTTGATATTTACGAAAATCTTGATATTCGCAGCCCTTTTTTTGCTGTTACAGTAAATGTCAGCAAATGTCGAAATGCAATCAGATTTCTTACTTATATATAATTCATACATATCATTGTCACAAACAAAATTTTATTTAAAAAAGTTATTACGATTTTATATTATATATTTTTATATATTTTATTATATAAATTTGAATTTTTGATATTTTTTGAAAAAATAAATTATTTTCAAATAAGCATTATATTCTTGATTGCAATAATGTGTTTTGTTCACTTAACATGTTTGCATGAAACGATTAAAAACCGAAATAACGATTTTGAAATATTGACAAAGTACGAGACAATTTCGAAATTTAAATTCTTAACATTCACACATTTGAAATGCACATAAAACAATGGAACAATTGTATTGATGTAAAATATTATGTACGCATATATTGCATTTTGTGTAAAACCGCAAATATTTAATATATTGTTTCTTACATATAATACGACATCATAAATAACGGGCAATTGAAAACTTAATTAGACTTGTGCAATATTGTTTCTCATACTGCCTCTGGCATTAAAAATTAATGTCATAAACCTACTTTTCAAACTGACCTGGAATGAATTGTACTTGCAAGGGCGAAATATTAGTAAATAAAGTTATGTCAAAATTCAGGAAGAGCAATCGAGCAATTCACAATTTCGAGATATCTTCAAGTTTCTGTTCAACAAAAAAATTTTTGTAATTTTCTTTTTATCAGATTTAACTTTTTATTCGCAAAATAACTTTCAAAACTTTTAATTATTCTTAAGCTTAATTCTTTTATGATTCGAGAGAATGCTGTGATAATTCTTTAAAAACATTTAAAATTTTTGTTATTAATCATCAAAGCAATAATAATATTATAAGTATTTAATAATAATGATAACTATTTATATTTTATATTAAACTATTTATATTTTACATAAAAATTTTCATGATAAGAAATAATTCATATTTAAAAATTAAATGATTCATATATACATTAATAAATTTAAAAATATTTTATTAATTTAATAAAAAAAAATTAAATTTTGATATATTTCTCCATATTTATTGTCATATATTTTCATTGATGAAATTGTCGACTCTCATAATAATCTTTACAAAAGTGATAAGGCTAGAATTAGATTTATTATCTATAATAGATTAATTGTTGAACTGCGTAAAATTATTGAAAATATTATATATATTTCACAGTAATAAACAAGTATATATCTTATGATTGCTATTATCGTGTAAACGGAATTTTTCGCGATACGAGAAATCGTCCTAAAAAAAAAATGATAAAAATGCATCATACGATATTATCGTTTACATTCGCATAATGTATACGACGTCGTATTTTAATATCAAGAACACAAGTCCTCTTTCAATTTAATTTTATCTATGACACAACGCATTTTTTGACCTTGAAATGGAATATATTATCTTTATGAAATCTGTAAAATCGTTTAGCATAAAGTAATTTATTATTTATAATAAATTTGCAAATTTTAATAGCAATAAAAGTTTGCGTTTTTTCTTTTGTCCTTTCTTTGTTTCTATATAATGAGCCTGTTCTTTTTATTTGCACTGCTGCACTAGTGCAATTAGTTAGAGTGAAAGAAAGTATGTTTGTCTCTTTTCAACTTATTGCACTAGTGTGGCAGTGCAGCTAAAAAGAACAGACCCATTAAGAGTCCAATTATATAGAGGTATTAATATTTAACCGATAATTGTGAGACGCACGCACATTATATATATATATATATATATATATATATATATATATGTGTGAGTGTATATGTATTTAGTTAAAATATGACAAAATATGTTAAAATATGTATTTAGTATAAATATGAATTTTTATGTGTATATTTGTCCGTTACAATAAAAACGCAACAAGATATACTTTTCTACGTTTGACCAAACGGTCTTTTTTTTATCGTATCTTAAAAAGATTGATGCAATTCCAAAATGCAATTTTTGAAATAAAACTTACTTCTTTTGCATTGTTCTGCCATTCTAGATCCAAGTATCACTGAATAAAATGTATCACTGCCAGATGATGTTTCCTTCTCTTCTATTCTTTCCAATACGTATATCTCTGCTTTCTCACAACGTGTGACCTTGCCGCCAAAACTACACTGTCATGCGCAGTTTTGAGGTTAAACGCTACAGCTATCCGATAATAATCTTCCACAAAATAAACAATATTTGTCACGTTCTCTAAATCTCTCAACTTCTGTCAACAGTCTTTCAAGAAGCCACTCTTGTTTATTTTGATCACTGTAGCGACTCGTGAATCATTCTCCGATTTTTTTTATCACAACGATAAAGCCATGTTTAATTCTACCTGCTTCATAACACGATATATTCTCCACGATTTTATCCTATGTAAAATCTGTTCTTTTATTGCTCTATAAATTTGAAGTACAACAAATGCTATACTTACTCTGTGAAAAAGGAATACGTTATAAAAATAATGTACAAATATTAAATCTATTCTAAATTCAAATTGCGTGTACTTCAACATAATAATTATAACTTTATATGTATTGTATATGCGTTCTAATTTTCTTACGTTTTATATTGGAAAAAAGAAAAGTCCGAGAAAACAAGATAAAGTTTAACTAATTAAAATTTCTGTTTTCATTGGAAATAAAATAGTAAAATCACAGATTCTATTAATCTGTAGTAAAGTTACTTTGAGTATTTAGATAATAGTGCCATCTGTACAACACACGTGAAGTATTCTGGAAACCGATTACTACCGACTAAAACCGATTATAACCGAAGTGCAATCGTTGCAGCAGATGATTTTTACGAGTAACGAATGTACATAAATATTTGTTTATTATCGAAATTATATTACTAATTTATTATATTAATAATTTTATAGTTTTTATTACATATTATTATAAAAAACTATGGCATATTCAATGATTTTATACAATTTTGTGAAAATTTTGTAACCTTACTTTTATAACTTATATACATACATATACAAAGACTTCATAATTTTATATTATTTTATAGAAAAATGAAATTGACATCAATATTTTTCCGTACCGCTCGAGCGCCCCAAAATGAGAACAAAGTACCTTTTAAGGCAATGGTACCATTAAAACTAAGAGATCGTGTATCCTCAAAACATCAAAGTGTAGCAGGTTTGTTTCTTCATAAAAAGTCAATTTCATAATTATTAAATTATTATCTATTTTACTTTACACAATGTAGTTAATAATAATGTTATTTACTACAGTTGACAAAGTATTTATAGTATTTCATAAAACTATAAATTTTTATTTTATATTTTATTTCAGATCGTGGATGTTTGCAAGAGTTATTTCTGCTTTTAACATGCCTTGAAGAAAACGAATATGAAAACAAAAGATGTGTTCCCCAATTTAAAGTATTGGAACAGTGTTACAATATCCATCAGAAAAATATAAGGCGTACAAAAATCGAACAGGAACAAGAAGTACCTGTACCTAACAGTAAGAATTTGACATATAAACAAGTCACATATTTTTTACGAAGATATCCAACAGTGTAGTTTCTCATTTCTCATTTTAACGCATTAATATATACTTATATAAAAAGTTTATAATAGGCGTATAATATAAATGCAAAAAATGTTCTTGTAAATACATTTATCAAAATATATGACTATATATTATCATTCAATTATTTAACTATACATTATCATTCAATCATTTACACTATAAATTATTATTATGCAATAAAAATTATTTTCTTGATGAAATCTTTTTAGTAAGATAATTACTTAATATTTTTAATGTCAGTGATACCTTCTTGTTTACTAGAAACAGCATGTAATCGCCTTAATGTAAGTCGTTTGGAATAACCTAAATGTAATAGAGTCTATTATGTAATTTTATTTAGATTTATGTTATAAAATGATTATATATGAAGCACTTACGAATTGGCTCAATATTATTGGAGACAGCTACTGTCTTTTGTATCACATTCAACTGTTGTTCAATTCTTTGTAAAGTCTTACAATTTTCCAAATGTTTGTCTTTGTAATAATAATATGTACAGATTAATGTTATGGCACAAAGTATTAAGGCAATATTTCTATACAACCATGTTGTACTTAACAATTGGGCCTGTAATAATATCATAACACTCTTCTAATGAAAAAATTTATTCTAAAACTTTGTATTTATTATCTTATATTATCTTATTACATTACCTTATTATCTGGAGATTGAGGTACAGTTCTATTATAATATTGAACTAATATCCTTTCAATCACTATATTTAAACTCAAGATGCTAAAAAGTGTAACTCTCGCATCAACTGTTCTTTTAGAAGAACTGAATAATGCACAAAGAATACAGCTAACAGTATAAAATATAATAGATTGAAACCAAGACACTTCTCCAATAATCCAATTTTGAAAAGTGCGTATGTAAGAAAATATTTCATAAAGCAACTCTTTTTGGTCTTTGGCGGATTCTCTAAATTTTAATCAAAAAGAAGATTAATATTTATTACTTAATCTTTATTATATTATAAACTTATTTGAAATCTAACACCATATTGTTACTTACTTGAAATCTAACACCATACTGTTAACTGTCTCAGATGAAGTCTTTAATACAGTCCCAAGTTCTTTACCGTGATCTAAAAGTTCATTTTGAATACGTAAACCTTCTTTTTGACTATTCAATATTACACCTTGCATTTGTGATGCTTCCAATAATTGATCTTTCATTCGTGAAGATACTTGAAATAATCTGAATTCACATATATATATGAGTTTTTTTTATATTTAATTTTTAAGATAGGATAATACATAGTAAAAATATATACAAAATATTTGTGAAATAAGATATACTTACAAATTTATAGTATTATCAATCTCAGATTGCCAAGCTTCATGGTTCAAAAAGAAACAGATATGAGTTGCATGAATGTAGAATTCATTGTAAACACTGAATGCTCGATCTCCCATTTCATTAATGCACTTTCTGCAAAATAAATATTTTAACAATTGACATGATTAAAAATAATATTGAAAATTCATTAACAATAAAAAATGTTTTACCGACGCTCATCTTCCAACTGATTAAGATGACAGTCATAAGTTATGTGACCAGAATCTTCTAAAAAACAATTCGCTAAACGCAAAGCAAGGAGAGAATGTTCATAATCATTTAATTTGTCGCAGCTATCTTGTAATGTTTGGAGTGCCATATGCCAGCATTTTCCATGTTGTGGTAATGATGATTTTGCTACAAGAAAAAGCCTTCTTGTTATAGTAATAATGATTATTAACGATTTCTCATTATATATTAATTCTTACTTTTCCTTTAATTTCTTACCTTTTATTAAAGAATACTCTTTTTCTCCTAAATTTTTTAGAATTGTGTTGCCATTATTAGATAATATTTCATGAATAAATAAGAATAAGAGCCATATCATCTTGAAAATATATAATTTTCAGAATTAGTAAATTTTTTCTATTATCCAAGTGACATATCAAAATATAAAAATGCTTTTCTGTCCTTAAAGTTATATATATCTCATCAATTGCATGAAATACATCTTTGCTCAGGTGAGTGGAAAATAACAATTGGACAAATCAAAATAAAATTAATTACACAATATACTATTTGTTAAATATTAAAACTTATCCAATTATTTTTACTTTGTGAACTGTTTGCAATTGATACGTAATATTTTACATATTTATACTGATAATTATTTAAACACATTTACATTAATTCATTTTAAATCAATTCTTTTAATAAAAAATGATAAATGAATTCTAATTTAATTGAAACTGAAAGAAATGAATTTTAAACAAATCAACTTGTAACAGACAGCTCCATTTTGGCGCGATTCTACGTAAATGATAACATTAGGTTTGTTCCTTATTGCTGAACTTCCTGCACTAGTGTGCACTAGTGTCACCAGAGAGAAGACTGAGAGATAACCTGCTTTTAGGTGATCCCTGAAAGCGATACTCCCTCTATGGACATTGAAAACGTGGACGTGAACTACAAAGCCAATGTCCATGAATATTCTCAGAGGATAATATATAATATGCACAATTTCTGGTTTTGTTCCGTGCTATGAGTACGAAATGCCAGTAGCACCAATGCTGTATGACAAGATACTTATGTATATAAATTGATAGTAAATAAATTATTCAATCGCGAAAGATACTGTAATATTCAAAGATAAAATAAATATTTTTCTATATTCATTGTCATATTTATATCTTTTTATTCACAAAATCCCTGCTGTAGGATAAAAACATTTTTAATCGTATTTCTATAAATCTTCTTAATTAGCAATAAATTGATCTTTGATATTTATCAATCATTTTTTTATAATTAAAAAATTTAATTATTAATTACAAAATATATGACAAAATATAATACAAATTTAATATAAAATATAATTCGAAATTTAATACAAAACAATTTATTACATGAAATAATTTATTACACGAAAATATCCAAAATATACGTATAATATAAAATTTACTAAAAATTTTTACATAGTCCAGACGAGACTGATCAGCGAAGATTAATTACGCGACATTTATTATTAATAATAGATATGCAATAACAGAATTTAATACGTTTTATATAACATAAATAATCGTGATCAAAAGAGTCATTAATAAAATTATTGATCGTTTCTTCGATTGTAAAAGAAAGTATTTACATTACTGACGCATTTTGTATAGATTATCAAAAGAAATATTCAAAATGAAAAGATAGAATAAACTTCGAAACCAACAATTAAAAATTACTAAATAAATCGCAATTTAAAATTCGCGAGAAAACGCGACGAATAAATAAAAATATATAAATAAATCGACAATAAAAATATATAAATAAATCGACAATAATCGGAATATTCGATTGCGAGATACACATAATTTTTATAATATGATAATCGAAATCATCAATAGACACGCGTGCGATATAATTATTATCATCCAAATGATGACAGACGAAGATATTTTGGCAAACATTTGTGATCCGTATTGTTTATGAACATAAAATTCATTGTCCGATTTATTTGCGATTAATACGCGACTTTATACGAATTTCACGATTGAGAATAAAATACATATTCCTATTTCGCGCATGATTAACTGAATAAGATGAAATGAGCTCTATAACCTTTAAAATATAATTAAAAATCGCGTTGTGGCCACGTTTAATAGAAAATAACGGAACGAATGATTTTCAAAGTCCCTCTAATAATCGATGTAATTGTAGAGTTTAATAAGATTTAAATGTAAAAAATCACGTTTAAAACGGTCATTAATAAGTTATCGATCGTTTTTTAAAATATAGAAGAAAATATTTGCACTACCAGCATTCTGCAAACTATTAAAAATAATATTCAAAGACGTGGAAAGATAAACAAAGCTTCAATGTATAAGTCAACGATTAAATTATAAGATAATTCGTGATTTAAAATTCCTGGGAAAATGCGACGAATAAATAAATCGATAATATTCGGAATATCCGATTGTGATATGTATACCTTTTATAATATAATAATCGAAGCGCCTCAATAGATATTATAATCACACGCGATATAATTATCACATAAACGCGAAAATATTTTGACAGACAATTTGATGACTGTAATATTTACGAATACAGTACTCATTGTCCGAGTCAATTGCGAATTATTATAAGATAAATCGCGACTCGAATTCATGAGAAATTGCGACGAATAAATAAGTCAATAATATGCGGAATATTTGATCGCGATACGTATAATTTTTATAATATAATAATTGAAGCTCTCAATAGACACATGCGCGATATAATTACTATCATGTAAATATAGAAAATCAAAAATATTTCGACAAACATTTGAAGTCTGTAATGTTTGTGAATATGCAATTCACCGACCGATTTACTTGCGAATGTTTATAAGATAAATCGTGATTTAAAATTCGTGATAAAACGCGATGAATAAATAAATCGATAATATTCAGAATATTCAATAGCAGATATATGCAGATATAGCGAGTGACATATCGATAATCCGATAAAAAAAGGAGCGATCTTAAAAATGGAGAACGATTAATATCTTGTTTCTACATCAGATTTCGCAAAATTAATCTGCGAAGAAAAGTTAAGTGATCCATTAAACATCGGGAACTTCACTATAGGAGGGAACGAATCCTGGATCTTCCGGATTATATCCGATAGAGCAATGATTTCAGTAATAAATCAATGATAATTATCCCTCGTTATTATCTTCAATTCATGAAATTGATATACACATCAGAAAACATGTTCTTCAATTATTAAGAAATATATTTCTTTATTGAAAATTAAATGGATATAACGACCTTTTTTATTGAAATGTGATTACGAACGATTATATTTATAAATAATAGAATACATGCATTATTGGAGTTTGTGTTAAATGTGCGAACACATAATTTGAGGTACTGTTCGCGCGCGCGAGACGAATCGAACCCGATATCAGCAAGATTTAAAAAATTTCAATTCGAACAGTGTGTAAAATAAAATAAATTAAATAATTTTAAACAATTAATTCTGGATTAATTCTCTAGAATCTTATTCTTATAATGTTTAAATTAATAATTTCTTTTCTTTTAATCAATATCTTACTGATATAGGGGTACCCATTCGATTTATCTCGAAATTTTTATATATTCGCACATTTTATGTAACATTCATGTATAATTTCGCTTACATATAATATATAACATTATTAAAAATTATAAAAATATTTTGGATACGTGAATTTGTGCATGTATTTTATTATACATATATATAAAATGGTATATACCTAAAAACTAATATTTCAAAATGGCAATGGACGTCCAATACCTGCAAATAGTTTCTTAGAAGAAACTAAAAATTAATGTTAATATCCCCAGCACCTAGAAATAATTTTTCTAGAAATAATTTTTCAAAAGAGACTTTCAAAAAAGAATTATATTAATTAAAAATATATTCGTTCGTAATCATTTTTATCAAAAAATTTATATAAATTAATTACAATAAATATAAAATTACTTGAAAAATTAAAATTTATACACAACGCTATATCCATATTTAATTTACTATTAAATCTTTCTGGCATTATATATAAACAATAATAATACCAATCCTAATAATGATAGAACATTTTTAACGAAGAAAAGAAAAGATATATTTCTCTCACCTAAATATATATTATTTAAATTAATTCGACGTTAAAGAAGCGTATTGTCGTTAAATTCTACTTTCTACCGAAATCATTGCTTTCGGAAATTGTTAGGAAAACCTGGGATTGGTTCCTTCAATCTTACAATAAAAATTCCCAATTTTCAACGAGGCACCGAACTAGACATCGCGAATGGATCTCACAAGAACCCATGAGAAATAGTTCTCTATGATGAAAATCGTTTCGATTCCTCGGCGATACGAGTCACGCAACTTTTATTAACGTTTATTTAACGGGACAATGATAACTCTTTTATTAAAACGACAATATCGTTTAAGAACGCAAAAAAGAATGCGAGAAAAACACGGTGTTTTCGTAACGGTAATTTATTAATTTATTTATAAATATTTTCTGATACGAAAAAAAAAATTCGTAAATACAAATATAACTGAAAAAACAAATGATTAAATTCATAATAATTAACTCGCGATTCTATAATATCAATGGTGATCGTTAAATTTTGTGAAGCTAATATTTAATCGTTGACTTATCACATCGAATCTTCACTTTCTTATTCGACATTTCTTTATATTTAATTAGCAATATTTAGGAATATTATCTGACGAGAGGGATAGTGATAAAATTCTTCTGTTAAAATGATAATCTTGTATAAGGACGAAGAGAACGCGGAAAAAACACGGTATTTTCGCAAACATAATTTAATAATTTAGTTTAAGAATATTCAATTCCGCGCGATATGGAATTCATAAATAAATAAAGCTAACGGAAAGCATATCATTAAATTTGTAATAATTGACACGCGATTCTATAACAAAGACGTCCGTCAAATTTTATAATGCGTATATTTAATCATTAATTTAGCATCGAATTTTTACATTTTACATTAAAATTTTCCAAAATTATTAATGACTCTTTGACATGAAAATACAAACACTTACTCTTTTATGAATATTCCAAAAATATATACTATAGAAACAAATACTTTAATTTAATGAATTACTATTACGTTAATTACTATTATGTAATTATTATACGTATACTTTCGATAATTTTTCGTGTTATTTACATGAGAATTTATAATTGTAAATACAACTTTATATAATATAATTATAATCATAATTGTATTGTATTTTACAATTAAAATATCAATGTTAGATTATAATCAAAATACAATTATAACTATTTACAATTTACAATTTACAATTTACAAATATATGATGCTATTAATATCAAATAATAAT